GTTTTTTTTTTTTTTTTTTTTTTTTTTGTAATTCTAAACCGTTTAGATTACATGTTTAGAGTGATTCAAATCTCAAACAAGTTTTCTTACTTTGAGATATTCGATCAACATAATTATCCGAATCTCACTTCTCTTATAGTATCAGAGCGTATTTTAGAGTGATTCTTTATCACCGACCCTTATCAGAACGTATTCTAGAAAATGATAGACATTTTGATATGAACGGAGAAGATTATTGGGGTAGGAAAGGACAGCGACATTTGTAATATTTAATTATGATGCAAAGTCTATAAAGTTAAGCATAATGATAGAATGAGAGTTGGCCCACCCTTTTCTTGCAAGCTTTCTTTCAGGTGGGAGTGGTTAATATCTTCAAAGCCCAAAACAATGGTGAAAGAACAAAGGTGTCTGCAGATTGCACTAATAATGGTTGACTTGTAACACACCCATGACTTCCCAAGAACAACTTGATTCAGAATTTAATATCGATTCGACGACGAGTTAAGTCATTAGGACGTGTTCGTGATGCTGTTATATGCATCTCAACCAAAATTTTAAAGTAAACAAACACAAGATACACAAGAAATATATGGTGCTTGAATATTTCATGAATAAATTCAGTTTTGGGGCATACAGCAATTATGTTCTTATTCATGTAAACCTAACAAAAACACACCCTAAAGAAAAAACAAACAATGCAGCAAACCTCTAGTTTTGAGTCTTTTCAGGTCATTTCCAATATTTGATGTCTTTGTAATCTCCGTGGCACCGTGTATTGCGTTACGGTTCAGCTATAAAATTCACTCTTGGGGGTCATCCACTCGTCGAGGCTGGGAATATCGTCACGAGGACTATCTATGCTATCCTCAGAATCATCAGGAACAACAGGCTTGATGCGGACCCTTGGCTTCCTTGGTGGCAGTACAGGAAGTGGTGCTTTCCCTTTAAGGATCTTTGCAGCTTCTCGCACAGTTGGCCTCTTAACATAATTTGGGTGTACACAAAACAGTCCCACCATTAGCATTCTCTCCATTTCTACTACATTGTAGTTTCCCATCAACTTTGAATCAGATGCTTCAGTTAGTGTCCCCGTTTCCCATAGATTCCAAATCCAATCGACCAGCACGGTCCCCTCTTCGTTTACAGCCCTCCTTCCCGAGGCTACTTCGAGCAACACGACTCCAAAGCTGTAAATATCGGTTTCAACAGTGGGAACTCCAGAATAAACGTATTCAGGTGCGAGATATCCCATTGTTCCAGCTGGTATAGTTGCTTCCCTTCTGAGTGAATTGCGTGCATACACTTCTGCTAGACCGAAATCCCCGAGTTTACCGTTGAAATCTGCATCAATCATAATGTTGCAGGTCTTGACATCTCTATGGATAATCTGTCTCTCATACTCTTCATGGAGATATGTCAATGCAGAAGCAATCCCAAGAACTATGGAAACCCTTTTCTTCCAAGGAAGAACAAACTGTGAATTCCGTGAGCGCTTATGAAGAAGTTCGCCGAGGCTACCATTGGCCAAGAACTCGTAAACAAGAACCAACTCGTTTGCCTCACAACACCATCCATGAAGCTGAACCAAATTCTTGTGTCGTAAGCACCCCGCCATAGTTGCAAACTCTGTGGTGAAAGGATTGTGCATACGATTGTTCGCCATGTCTGGTGCGAATCGTTTAACAGCCACTTCTCCACTGACTGGAAGACATCCTTTGTAAACAGTTGCAGAACCACCTCTCCCAACAATTCTATCTTCATTAAAGTCCATTGTAGCCAACTTTACCTCCCCAAGGGATAATCTCAATGGAACTCTGTTCGTCTCAACTTGACTGGTTTCAGGAGTTGCTATGCATATGCACATTCTACCTCTCAATTTATCCATCAAGATAAAACTAACCAAACCAACAATGACAATAATAGAGCAAAGAAATGCAATTAAACCTCCTAAACCAAGGGTTATCTCTCCAATCATCTTCCTCCGTTGACGAGCGTTGACAGAACGATTGCTATTCGCACTCGAATCCTCCGATGAGCACATGAAACAGTCTCCTTCAGTAATGGTATCAACAGAACTCAAAGAAGGTACCAACCCAAAAGTTCTAAATTTCCATTGATCAACAATGTAAAGAGCAGAGCCCCGTCCGTTAGAAGCAGAGAACCCCACATACATGAACTCCTTAAATTGCTTGGAAAGATCAACCTCCACAACAAGAAGAGGATTTTCAGGCCTTGTCTGCGAATAGCCAACCCAGACATGGATCTTTTTCGAGTCTTCCTTGTACTCAATCCATGCGGTAATCTTTCTCCCATTTTTGAGGAAAATGCCCCTGGACCCAAAATCCACAGAGGACAAAGAGGTCGCAGAGTTGACATCAAAGCCAAGATGGTTGTCATTAATGTCTCCAAGATCAGCGTTGAAACTTGTGTCGAATTCGACAGCGATGAAAGAGTGGTGGGAATTTGGCGGGGGGTCGGGAAGGCCCATATACCCATTAGAGCGGCTGAAAGATTCGGAATCGGAGGTGATGAGGAAAGCGATTCCATCGGCGGAAGGGCAAAGTAAGGTGGGAACGACGGTGAGGAAGAATTTAGTGGAGAAAGAAGCGGTGGAATTGGTGGAGAAATCAAGAAAGCGAATCGGGTTGTTGTAGAAGGCGGCGCCAACGCCAGAAGAGACAGAGGCAGAGGATGCAGGGGAGATGGAAGAAGAAAAGGGAAGGCAATTGGTTTCTTGGGTGAGAAGCATGGCATTGTTTCTGAAATGCGCATCACCGGAGAGGGTGACGTTTTGATCGGGCAAGAAACAAAGAGAAAGACGGACAAAGTTGGAGGGAATCAAGAAAAAAAGGAGGATCGTTAAAGTCGACATACTAAAATGGAAGAACAGGAGATTTCGGCTTCGAATTGAAGACGATGGAAATCCACACAACTCCGCCACTGTGCGTTCTCTGTTTTGGGCGTTCGGCGGTGCGTGAGGTAGAGAGCGCAGGAAATCTATGGCAGTCAGATTCTGTAATACATTCTTCAACAACACCATTCATGTATATTTATCCTAAAACTTTTCAAAATTTTCAATACCTTTTTATTTTTCAGATTTCTTCCAAAAAAAAAAAAAAAAAAAAAAA